TATTACTATAAGTAATAATCCTACCTTAAATAATGTTAACTCTTCTTTTACTACGGTTACAAGCCCTGTTTCAGTTCCAAAGGCACAAGTGTATCCTTTTGATTCAAGTAGACTAGATCGTCATAGTCTTGGAAAGATGAATCATTTATGTGCTCATTGTGGTGCTTTGAAATAGATAGATGAAAGATGCTCAAATACATCTAAACGGTCACCAGAATTTGCTACATGCTGTGCCTGAGGAAAAGTGTTACTTCCAAATATTCAAGTACTACCACCATTATTAATGTCTTATCTTACAGGAACTGACACCCATTCACGTAAATTTCGCCAAAATATACACGCTTATAATAGTGCTTTAGCCTTCACATCTATCGTCACCAAAATTGATGATTGTATTACTAGAACAAGAGGCCCTTATAGTTTTTGTATACATGGCGAAGTATATCATAGAATCGGGTTTCTTACTCCACATTCAACTACTAAGCCTCCTTCATTTGCCCAGCTTTATATTTTTGACGCAGAAAACGAAGCACAAAATAGACATAATTTTATGTCTTCTTTAGATGCGGTAACACTTATAGAGCTTCAGCGTATGCTTCATATTACTAACCCATATGTTTATATTTTTCAGCAAACAGGTAGTATCTTGCGCCAAAATCTGTCTCAACATTTGACTATGATAATAAAAGACTCTAGAGCAGCTGATTCACGCCAATATAATCTCCCATGTGCTTCAGAAATTGCAGCTATCATAGTTGGAGATCCTAATAATGAAACTGAAATTTGTAATCGTGATATAATAATTCGTTCTCATGAAGGTGGATTACAATGTATAACAAAATTGCACAGAGCATATATACTATTGCATTATGTTCTATTATTCCCTAGAGGTGAAGATGGATGGCATCCACAAATTGTTTTGCGTCACATTACAGATCTTTTGCAATCACCTATTGAAGACGATCCAAACACATATGACGAAAATGATGAATTGGATAATGAAGTTGATGTTAGAACTCGAAAATATGTTACTATGATGCAATATTACTCTTATCATTTACAGGTAGGGAGACCAGAAGAGGATTTAGGACTTCATCTCGCTGGACGCCTTTTTCAACAATATATAGTAGACACCTATGCAAGTTTAGAACAAAATAGGCTTAATTTTCTAAAGCTTAACCAAAAGAGAATTCGCGCTGAACTCTATAGCAGACTGCAAGATACATTAGCTGTCTATGATGATGTTTCTCAATAATTATCTATTTCAAATATGGCAAATATAGGAAGGCGAATAGTTCTTCCTTCAACTTTTACTGGAGAGCCGCGCCAAATGCAATAGCTATATCAAGATACAATAGCAATTGTATATAAATTTGGTAAACCAGATCTTTTTATTACCTTTACTTGCAATCCTACCTGGACAGAAATTTCTGCTGAACTTCTAAATAATCAATCAGCTTCTGATCGTCCTGATTTGACAGCAAGAGTTTTCAATATGAAATTGAAAGCTTTAATGGACGATATTTTAAAATGCTACATTTTTAGAATTGTTGTAGCATACATATATGTAGTAGAATTTCAAAAGCATGGACTTCTACATTTCCACATTTTTTTAATACTTGATTCAGCATCTAAACCTAAAACTATAGAAGATTTTGATGCAATTGTTTCAGCGAAAATACCTGATATTAATCTGTATCCTAAAGCGTATGACACTGTTCGACGCACAATAATGCATGGCCCATGTGGTTTGGCTAATCCTAAAGCCATATGCATGCAAGATGGTAAATGCACCAAAAGATATTTACGTAATTTTTGTGATTCTACATCAATGAATACTGATGGTTATCATATATATCGTCAACTTAATAATGGAAGATCAGTAGATGTTAGAGGCATACATTTAGATAATCGTTAGGTGGTGCCTCATAATCTCTATCTTGCAACAAAATATGATGCCCACATTAATGTCAAGATATGTTCATCAATATTAGCTATAAAATACCTTTTTAAATATGTTTATAAGGGCCATGATCACGCTACAATAGAGATAAGAAATTTGCAAGAAATTTAGTTACAGGAAACTAATGAAATTAGTCTTTATATAGATGCCCATTACCTTTCTGCATCTGAAGCTTCTTGGAGAATATTTCATTATAAACTACATCAAGAAAAACCAGATATTATGAGGTTGCAAGTTCATCTTCCTGACTAGCATATAGTCATTTTCGAAAATAATGAAGACTCCGATGAAGTAATTAGGCGTGGATCAAAAATTGCAACCACATTAACTGCATAGTTTAAGGCCAACCAGCAATTTCAAGAAGCCTCTGAACTTACTTATGCAGACTTTCCAACACATTGGGTATATAATAAACAATACAAAGAATAGAAACCACGACAAAAAGGAAATACTATAGGGCGAATGTATTTTGTACATCCTAGATCTGGCAAACGTTATTATCTTCGCATACTATTAACCATTGTACGTGGCGCTAAATCTTTCAATGATCTTCAAACGATTAATAATATCGTTTACCCTACATTTAAAAAAGCATGCAAAGCCCTGGGTATGCTTTAGGATAACAAAGAATAGGACGCATGTTTAAAATAAGCCAGTCAAATACAATCTGGAGCATAGCTACGTTATTTATTTGCTACTATTCTTATATTCTGTAATCCTACTAACCCGGAATTGCTTTGGAAAAAATATATTACAGCCTTTTCTGATGATATATTAGATCAATCCAGTAATACTAATAAATATAATATAGCTTTGCTTCAATTAGAATCTATTTTACTTCGAAATGGAACATCCCTCCAAAATTTTCCTAATATGCCTATTCCAACACCATTATCTCAAGACCATATTCACCATAATTGTTTGATTGAAGAAGAATTACAATATAACGTTCCTTTACTTGAACGTCGATTTGCTGAAAATTTTCTTCGATTAAATATTAAACAACAAGCTATATTTAACACTATCATTTTTGCTATCGAATCTAACCAACCTTCTTTATTTTTTATTGATGGTCCTGGGGGCTCTGGAAAAACATTTCTTTATAGTGTTCTTTTGGATAAACTTAGATCTTTCCATCAAATAGCACTTGCCATTGCTTCTTCAGGAATTGCAGCACTTTTATTAGATGGAAGATGTACTGCTCATTCATGGTTTAAAATTCCTTTTGAATTAAATGAAAATTCAACCTGTAATATTTTACATGGAAGTAACTTAGCAGCTCTCTTACAACAAACAGATCTTATCATTTGGGACAAAGCACCTATGGCTAATCGATATGCTTTTGAGGCAGTTGATAAAACTCTCAAAGATTTAATGAAAGCATTAAATCCT